TAGATACTTCAAGCTCAATCATATACACACATACACATTTTTGGTTTTCAAGTTTATATAAATATGAAATAAATATACTTGTTTATATACTTACGTATTTCATATTTATTGTTTTGTTTTTGGTCTAGCAATACAAATATGAAACAATAGATATATTCATATACATACTCATACATTTCATATTTATCATTTTGGCTTTTGTAAAAATGCATATATTATGCAAAACATTATTTTTGAGAAAATATTGTGTTTGTGGATTATAGACTTGACAATATTAATTTGTACCTTTATCTAAGTCTATAATGTCATACAAAAGTTTTCAAACTTTAGTTTAAGTCAAAATGTAAAAATCATGTGTTGTTGAGTTTTCACGTTTTTGAACTATTTTGCAAAAAGAAGAGTTTTCATAATTAGGAGATGTAATTTGACAAATTCTTTTTGTAACATGTTCATTTTCATGTTTATAATCATATTTCAAAGTTTTACATTTTTTAGAATTTATTTGCTATTTTTTTAAGGCACTTCAAATATCAGATTTCATGCATGAACAGTGACTGTGCATGTTTATAAGTCAACTTATGTACTGTAGCAAGTTGACTTATGAACTATTCTAAAAATTGTAGTTTTTATCCGCTGAGTCGACTTATATACCCAGCAAGTCGACTTATGATTAGTCTACTTATAAGTCGACTTATAATCTGTTGTGCAGTTTGTTGTTTTCGTCTGCTAAGTCGACTTGCAGCTCATACAAGTCGATTTATATCAAACAAGTTGACTTATGAACTAGCCATTATACAGTAATGACTAGTTTCCTGATTTTGTTTATTTATATTTTTATGGGTTTTTGGTGTTTTCTTGAGCTGGTTTCTTCCACCCTTCTTTGTCATAACTATTTCCAATAACCAAGAATATTTTTAAACAAGTTTTAAGGGTGTTTAAGTTTAGTTTAAGTTTGTTTTCAAGCTTGTGTTTTTGTGTGAAGAAGTTTTCACAAAGAGGAGGCTTACATTTTCAGTTTAAGGAATTCAACATCATCCATTTATCTACATCTCTGTGTTATTGGAGAAGTTTTCTAAACTACATCTCTAGCTATTTATACGTTTGATTATCATTTTCATAAGCTAGACTTTAATTGAGTTTATATTTGATTTTACTCATTGAAGACACACAACCTTTGAGCTTTTAGTATTTTACATTAAGTATAATTTGGGTTGTGATGAGTGGTTCTTGAGTGTGCGCTAAATTGAGTTCTCATCCATTATAGAGAACAAAACTTTGTAATTGAGCATTCATTGTGAGATCACTTTGTAATACATTTGTACACCGAGAGTAGTGTATGGTGAGAGACATGGTCAATACCAAGAGGAGTGGCGTCGGTAGTAAAGCCTAGGGAGAGGTTGTAAATCCGAGCACTTGAGAAAGACTACACGGGCTAGAGACCAACACTTAGAGGGTGTAAAGTGTGATTGCAAGAGTGTGAGTTGTGAAAGTTTTCGATGAGCTAGAAAACCCGAGATTGTGAGGTGTAAATCTTTTTGGGTGAACGTCGAAAACCCATTGTGATAGTGGATTCTCCCTGGGAGTGGGGAGCGGAGACGTAGGTCGGAAGGACCGAACTCCGTGATCATTTTCTTGTGTTCGCATTGCTCATTTATCCACTATCTTGTTTATATTGTTTCATGTTTATTTGCCCTTAGTTTTCATATCTTTGCTAATAATTCATTGAATATCAATCTTGCTAGGATATATTTGTTAATAAGTTTTAATTGACATTAATATCGGATTAGATTAACATTAACCCTATTCACCCCCTAGGGTGTTTTCATTTGGTATCAGAGTTTGGTACTCTTTGATTAGAGGTTTAACCACCTTGAGTCAAATATCCAATTTATCTTATATTGCTAATCTTGTTTTGAATCTTTCTTGCTTGCATACATACATATATATATCATGGACATGCACAGTGCACCTTGTTTAGGCTATGATATAAATGTTGCTCTTCTTTCAATGCATTTCCCTATGCTCAATGATGTTTTAGTTTTTAAAATATTTGTTCGATCTAAAAATATCGATTTGTGGGAAGTCATTGATCATGCTTATATTGTGCCCACTTTGAAAAATTCAAGTGGAGCAATCATGATAAGAAGATGTTTACTATGAACAAGTTAGTGTTAGAATTTATCCTCAATGCTTTTGATTCATTCACTTTTAACAAACTTGTTTCTTTTGATAGTGCCTATTTATTGTGGAAATATTTAGAGGCATGTAAGGCAACTTGGAGGAGATCCAATGGATTCCGACAAATTCTACTTCAAGTGATGTTGGAGCTTCATCTTGCACACGACTACTAGGCGATAGCCCTAGTGTGGTATACGATTCTGAATCCGATAACGATTTATCTAGTGATAAACTCGTTTGTGCATCTAAAAGATTATTGTATGCCTACAACAAATTGCATAAAAACTTTATTTATTTAAAAAGCAAGCATGTAGAACTTAAATCCGATCATGAGAAGTTAACTTCCAAATTTGATATCATTGCTCAAGAAAATATTACACTTAAAGAAAATAATGATATGTTAAATTTGGAAAATAATAAATTGAAAATGGAGATTGCTAACTTGTCTCATGAAAAGAACAATACCATGTTAGAAGTAGAAGCAAGCAAAAATCAATTGGATATTCTTGTAAATGATTATATTTTCTCTACTTCTAATAGCAATACTTGTATGCATAACGATGAGTTGCATCATGTAAAAGATCGCATTTCATCCTTAGATTCAACATTGAAAACATGCATTATAGATAACAAGAAACTTATGGACTTATGTGCAAAGTCATGTGCTAATTCTTCCAAACCACGCACCCACTATGCACATATGCATAGCAAAATTTATAAGTGCACTAATTACAGTCGTAAAGGTCATTTAGCTAAATTTTGCTATGATGCACACAAATCTTCTAAAACTAATGCTTATTATGCACCTCATAACGTGCTATACTTATAGGATAACGTATTATACTTACATGTTTCGTGCTATACTTACAAGTTTCGTGCTATACTTATAGGTTTCGTGCTATACTTACAGGTTTCATGCTATACTTACAGGTTTCATGCTATAACCTGAAACGTATTTCCAAACATATATTTATACAAAACAAAATAATGCAATGCTCCATCGAGGGAGAAGAAATTGGATGCAATGATCCAAGTCTTGGCAAACATCATGTTTAGCTCCTCAGCTTGTCATCAACCAAAAAAAAATGCTCGTAATGCGAAGAAAATAGACTAGAATCTATCTATCATCAGATCTACCAGAGAAGCCACAAAACACCTGTAATTTAACCGAAGAATACAATTGACAAACTATATACAGCATGTCCCAGAATTGTGGACTTTACATAACCAATTCCAACAGCAATCCCACAGGTTTCATACTGACAAACATATATTCATACTGACAAACATATATTTATACAAATACTTTACAAATCAATTTCCAAACATATATTTATACACACAAAAATATTGGATATCACATTTGGCATCTAGCATCCGGGAATTGGCCTTGAGGTCACGTTGATATCCTGAAATTAAAATATAAGCAGATTAGAAGGACAATAGACTGAATATATGTGGTTCAATGAACATTACACTTATGGAAAATATAACTTCAGATAGAAATAGAGCAACGATACGAGCTCTATGTCCAGGAAAAAAAAACTCTACCTGGTCCGAAATTTAGTCTTTCTTTTTGAGCAGATAAAATGACTTCATTAATTTTGTACAATTTCAAAGGAATAACAATAGGGACCACGTAAAAATATCTTCAACAACAGGTTTAGTTCATGTGGAAATTGAACTTGTTAACTGCACATGTGGATGCAATTTCTTCATCCAATGTGTTGAACATGAAAGCTCCACTTCATTCTTCATCTTCGCTCCTACATCTGAAATGAGTAGCTTTGTGAGAATACTCAAGTTAGAGAAAATTTGTAGAAATCATGAGCATGGAATTTTAAACCTATTTCTTCTGAAAATTAGGATTGTTCTCGGTTACATCTGTATCTGAGTTGTTTCTTGTTGTAGGAATTTGATGCTCTCTTTGGTCTAATTGTGCTGACCGGCTCGGTACTTGGTTTGGATTAGTAGGCGCGGGTGTTGATGTTTCCGCCTCCCGTGGACGTGCGACTGAAAATAGTAGTTTTGGGAGAATACTAGAATTAGAGAAGAAAGGAATTAACAATTACATCCTGTGCTTTTTGACAGTTTATCTAGACAGGGGTCAGTCTTTCCCAATTTATCCGTTGAATCTATGTACTAACAAAATAATTTTTTTTTTTGTTTTGTTTTGCATCAAGAGTTGAACGAATTAATACGAGTTCTGTAAATCAATCTTCAGAAAACAGAAGAATCAATGACCCTATGGTAAAACCTCGGAAAATAAATACTAGTTGTGCATGTAAACTTAGCGACGGGCGACAGCGACCGAGCAACTGCGAGGTCGACGGCACCGCGAGGTCGACGGCAACAGCGAGGTTGACGGGCGGCTGGGCGCACGATGTGGGACGGGGGCCGGTTGACGGCGAGATTGACGGCGACGATGACTGGGACGGCATCAGCGGCGCGCAGAGGGTCGACACGGCGGTGCGGCGACAAGCGACACCGGCGAGTGGCGGTCGGTCGGCGAAATGCATCGGCGGCAGATGCTTTCGTTTTTTACTTTAGGGCTGAGTTGAAAAGGGGTAAATGATGAGAGAGATAACTGGTTTATATGGGGCCAATGAAAGGGGTATTTTAGGGTTATTACCTTGATTGTGTATAAATACAAGTGCTGAAAGTATTGTATTTTAGAAATTGGGTTTAAAGAAAAATACAAAAAAGTGAATTGGGCTTAAAGATACAACTAATAATGGATGGGTTTAAAGATAAAGTAAGTAAACAAATAGGCCTAGAAACAAAAACCCCCCTAGATAATATCAGCCACCCTATATCCTAGCCCTCCTCAGCCGCCTCCTAGCCGCCTTAGCCACCTCAACCGCCTCCTAATATGCCTACTACTGATTGTGTATGAGGGCTACTAATTGTGTATATATATCATGTATATCTGATCATCAAATATAGACAATCTCTCTTCAATACCAACCTAACAATTTTGGAGATGGAGTTCAAGGGCTTTCCAGGTATTAAGCTGAATCGAAGAAAACGCTGTTCTATACAAAGAAAAAGAAAATCTTTGTTAAACAAAAATTGTTCGATTTTTCACTCTTGTTTAACTAAATTGTCCAAAGGATTTTGGTCCTGAGAATACGGATGACAAATGGACCGGAACCAGGCGCAAATAGAAGCTAATGCTCAGCCCAAAAAAATATTCGTCTAATTGCGAACAATTTCATAATTTGGAAACTAGAGAGCTTAAAGCCTTATTCCACTTTATTTTCAGCTTCTTTAAAGTAAGTTTGTAACATTATTTTCGACACGACATGTAGGGGTGGAAATGAACCAAATAATTAATAAATGGTTCGATAATTGTTTGAATAACTATTCGGTCATATTCGATTCGATAGTTCATTTATCACTAAACAAATATTTTTTAGTATTTGAGTTTATTAACGAATAGAATTTAACCAGATGTATATTCGATTCGTTTGTCTATTAAATATTCGTTTAAAATTTGATCACAGTTTATTATTTGTATTATTGCACATATGATGTCATATTTTTAACCCACTTACCATTTCTACTTAAGTTTTATATATAGATTTTAAGACTTAAATAATCTTAAATCTGTTTTCTAATTAAAATTTTGATTTAAATATATATACATCATATATTATAAAGAAATAATTTTAATTTATAAATTTTAATACTATTTGAAAATTAAACTCTTTAGCGAAATAAATATACTTTGATAGTCAATAAGTATTCGTGAATATTCATGAATATTTATCAAATACCAAGTATTCGAGTTCAAATTCAAAAAACTACAAATACCAAGTATTCGAGTTCAAATTCAAAAAACTAGATATATGAATAATAGAGTCCGCATTCGAATTCGATAATTTTAAACAAATACAAATATGAACAACTTAGTATTCGATTCGATTCGATCATTTACCACCCCTAACGACATGAACCTTTGCTGGGTGGCTTAGGATAGGATCACGTGGTCATGAATGCAGAGAAAAGCTTTATTGGCGTTGTTTCGGGCCCATGACTGTAGTAAGATAGCGTCATAGAGTTGTGGCCCAGCCTAGTTTAGATAGACGACAAAAATTATGACCTCCTTCTATAAATGATGAATAACTGCCACTGAAAAAGTAGAGCTCTTCGTTTCATATCTAGTAATTCATACATATCCCTATTCAAGGATATATATATATATATTCTTTTAAGTAACATTTTAGTTGCAGGATTAGGCCATTAATTGTCTTAATTGTAATTGTTTCAAAATTTTTGAGGAGGACTCGAGTACTGGTTTGCTGAACTTAGCACTTACACGGGAAAGCCGAAGCAAAATTTGTGGCTGACTGAACCCACGTTTTGTTAGACCAAACGGTTATGAAGCCCAATTAACGCCGTTAGTTCCTCGTTTATCAATTCTTGGAACAATACAAAGTACAATGTAAAAAAATCCCCAAAATTTAAAGGAGAAAATGCTTCCAACCCCCAACAAAACCCAAGAAAACGTGCCCCCCCAAGACTTTGTCAACAGGTGTTTTGCCCTCAAAAATAAAGATTCTGTTCTCTGAGCCCCCAAAACCCAAAAGATTAAAATATTTGAAGACCATAATACAAAATGCTTCTAACCCCCAAAACCCAAGAAAACGTGCTCCCCCCTAAAGTCAACAGGTCATTGTTATTTTATTATTTTCGTTTTTTATATAGTAAACAATATATAATGATGGTAAACAATATATCAACGAGTACAATAATACATGAAAAATATAACTTAATTATATCCCAATCTCGGTTGTGTCAACACCACGATATTTATTACAATAATCTTCCCACATTTCAATTGCAATTTGATCCCTCTTTTCTCTCCATTCATTTCTTGAATCTCTTTCCTCTTTTTGTGTCATAGTTTGAGTAAAGTCAACAACACTCTCTTCATCCTCATTAGCTATTTCATCACCATCCTCTTTAATGAAATTGTCCTCATGCAACAACTCATCCCCCGGATTTTCTATGGCGATGTAGTTATGAAGTATAGTATATTGTTTGGGGAGAAAGTTGATTTGCTCATTGCTGTGTTCATTACAACTTCAAACATTACAATGAAAGCAAAAATTAGTCTTTTTATAAGACATTTACACAATGAAAACAAAAAAAAGTACAACTTTCGTCAAGCAGCGCAACGGGTGTTTATCGTCTGCTGCTTGCGTGAGATCTTGGCCTGTGACGGGGACATTAGTATCCGGGGACCACCAAACGATCAAATCAGATCCGGAGCTTCGTTGATTCGCGAAGGAATCAGGAAGCCGAAACAATTATCTCGGTAACAGTGAGATAATCACTCTTCTCGAGATCACCGCAATGGGGTAATCTCAAGGTAAAGGACCGAGAAGTGTAGATCCGACGAGCTCCTCTTCTTTATGCCGACGAACTCGATCCGATATCCTTCTCCCTTCTGAAATTCGTGCTCCTTCATCTAGCAGGGCTTTGCCAACACTCGAGAATTCCAGATTCTAAAAAATAAAGGCCCTAGGGTTGTATTTATAAGCTTCAGGAGTCCTGTTTTCGGATAAGAACGATCGATTCACTCTTATCTTCAGTTATAACCACTTTATCACGTTCTTGGATAGGTTCAGATCAGTTGGAACAAATCCAGTTAGTTAATGGTCGAAAAACCACTCAACAACCAAAAACAGTGTTTTTGGCTCTAAGACACCCGTGGGTGTCTCGGCCAAGGCCTGGCCGAGACACCACTTGGTGTCTCGGCCAAAGCATGGCCGAGACACCACTTGGTATCTCGGCCAAAGCCGAGACACTCGTGGGTGTCCCGGATATTTTAGCTCTAACTTTCTCATATGACCTCCAAATAATATGATTCAAGATGCGTTGAAAAGATGACGAAGATATCTATAACTTTTGTCTTTTAAGATTTTTCATATTCGAATCAAATCATGGCCAAAATATCCATTCTTCTCCGAGACACCAACACTATCTCGGAATTCTGAGGCAGTTTGTACTATCTTTGTTATTTTGGTTTTATCTCTCTCATACAATCTCGGAATGAGTTGATCAAAGATATGTTAGAAAGCTAACAAGGAGCTCTACAACTTTTATCTTTTGAGATTCTTCATATTCAAAGCGAATCACAGTCAAAATAGCTCTATAAGGTCCGAGACACCTATGGGTGTCTCGGCCAAGCCTTGGCCGAGACACCAAGTGGTGTCTCGGCCAAGCTTTGGCCCAGACACCTCTTGGTGTCTCGGCCAAGCTTTGGCCGATATACCTATCGGTGTCTTAGCTTTGGCCTGAGCTTGATTTGGCGTGTTCTGTCCGTTTTTGCCGTATCTTCATCGTCCGAACTCGGAATTACGTGGTTCAAGATGCGTCGGAAAGCTAACGATGAGATCTATAAGATCCATGGTTGAATCACATGTGAAGTAGACAAGACACGAGGGGTGCTTCGCCTTTTGTAAGCGACGCGGAGCTCCTGATCAGTTCGTGTTTGGTTATTCTGAAGTTTTGTTGCTTCACACGGTTCGTCAACTCACTTCATGCACTTGTCGACGTCAAATAAGCTTCCGTGACTTGGATAGTGACGTTCGTCATCTTCTCTCTGTCTCTAGCCACGTACGGGAACCTATAGGTATTTTTAGACGCCTACAGATACCCTCTCCAAAGTGTTTCAGTCTCGTTTTTTTTATAGAGGAGCCTGAAATACTTTGGATGTGATCGGTCCAACCTTCAGTCGGTGTAAAAGGACCTGTAGCTAGCTTTGATTCTTGACTCCTTTGATTTTTAGTTTATTTTGATGAATAGCTGAAGTTCTTCTGGTGCTGCGTTTATCGTCTAGCCGTTGTCGAAGTTTCGAATCGAACTTGATGAATGGGTTCTGGCTCGTGTCGTCGAGTTGACTCTGAACTGACTATCTCTGTCACAATAAATTGACTTAGGGCTACACGTTGAACGGCGTTGATTTTTCATTGCAACACATTGACTGGCGTTGACCTAGGGTT